TCTTCAGCCCTTCATAAAAATTAATGTCTGTCTCCAACCCAAGATTTTCACCAAATAAAGGTGAGGTCTTGCATAGACCAGATGAATAAGGGATTTAAGAGGAAATAGCTGAAAGACTTGAACATTACACTCTGTGCCATTTTGAAGTTCCCCCTGGGATGTGACTCCAGCCAAGTCCCTGCATCACAGCACAAACCCTCAGGCCCAGGGGACTACCTTCTCAAAATGCCCACTGCGGATGTAGTAGTCTGCCAAGGAACACCATAGCTTGCCCAGCTGGTCGGTGAAGCGAGTCAGGCCGCCCCGGATTATGGCCCCCACATTGAGCGACTTCACCTTGTCCGGATTCTGCGAGATGAGGTCACAGAGCTCGTGCCACAGCTGCAACGGAGAGGACAAGGTGTCAGAGAGATCTTGGCAATGCTGAGAGGCAGGAAAAGCATCAAGTGTACAGGTTGTTCTGCAGCAGGCGTCTTTGGATGAAGGAGAAGAGAGATCCTTCACATAATTTTGGAGGGCTGACTGCCAGCTACCATGAGCCTCACTTGATAGTTGGATTTCCCCTCCTTGGAGATGAAGCGTTCATCATTCACCACAGCGGCAAGGCGGACAGCAGCCTCATCCAGGCGGTCAATGGAGCGCAGGTACTCAATATATTCCTCAGCATTCTCCGGGCTCAGCTGCAACATAAAAACACGTACAGCTCAGAATCCACCAGAATGCTGACAAGACCAAAATAGTGGCAGTAGAAGGGCTAATGTAGATTAATTGCAGCACTGCTAGAAGTGCCAACTCAAGCTAAGAATACAAGGAGTAGCTTACAACCCTTTGTGCATAGTGTGTTAAAGCTAATTAAAATTTGTCGGGGGGAACAAGGGTGATTTCTTTTCTGCAACATGACAAAATTTCCACTTATTCCAAAATTAAAATAAAAAACAGGAGGAGATTAAACAGAATACTATCTACAGATTTAGAGCAGACAACATTTTGTAAAGAGGTGTCCTAGTTCAGGAGTCCTAAGCAAAGGGTTTCAGACCCAGAACCCCTCTTTAAGTCCATCTGCAATGCAGGATCTACTTAAGAGTTGGCATAGGTTCATTTATCCTCGCTGTATGGTGATCAGATGCACAAAAAGTACAAGCGCATTGCATCTTTACCAGATGTATATAAGGGGGAGTTGTAAAAGATGGAATTTGTCATGTAGGGCTGCAAAAAACCTGTCCCTGCTGAAATTTCCTGTTCTGTGAAACTACTAAAGGTTAAGGGATTGTGGCTTCCTTTGCATCTGGTGTCGCGGTTTCTTTAAAAATAACAGAAAAAAGAAAATTATTGGGCGCCACTGATGTAATTTACAACAAGTTTCTGCATCTCAACTCCCAGCTGAAGGACAGTTCTTGGGTTAACACAATGAATAATAATATTCTGGGCGGCTCCCAATCGAGTGTTAAAAACAATACAGCATTAACTTCCCTAAACGGGGCTGCCTTCAGATGTCTTTTAAAGATAGGATAGCTGCTTATTTCCTTCACATCTGAAGGGAGGGTGTTCCACAGGGTGGGCGCCACTACCGAGAAGGCCCTCGGTGCATTAATATTTCTGGAAAGTCTCCCTGATCTGATCTAGAGAGGTGCCCAATTAAATAACACTTTTGTCCAATACTCTCCCTTTGAGAGGGGGTTTCTTTTTGCTGAAAAAGCAATTTTATTTTTCTCTGTCATAAATGAAATCAATCAAATATTTTGGTGCTATTGAAGAATTTGTTCCACAGCCTTCTGATCTCTCTGTACCTTCTCTAGCCACTTCCAAAAACTATGAGTACCCAAGTCAAATACAGTATAGTATTCCAGTAGAAGTTTCGCAAGGGCTATGCACAAGACTAAAAGCAGGACAAGAATTCATTTAGTGCAAATAATGAAAAGTAGCCTAAAAGAGAAGAAACCCATTTAGGCAGTCATTGCACAAGGAAGACAACACCTTCTCTACAAAGATTATGCAGATGGCTCAGAGGTGGAAGAGTTTGGCAAGACAAATTAGTTGGGGACATGTGGGCTCCCTTACCTTCAGGTACCTGCGGTAGACCCGTACAGCTGTCTCGGGTAATGGATACAGGCGCACAAACTTCAGGTAGAGTGGCCAGATACGATGGTGCTGTGTGATGGGCAGGGCCCGGAGGGCTCGGTCAAAGGTCCTACGGGTGCGGGTGATCCGACACTGGTCCATAAGAAACTGGCAGTAATCTAGCCATATCCGAGGCATCTACAATCAGACAGACAGATAATAAGAAAATAGCAACACCCTTTGGGGATCCGGTCAAAGGTTAACATTGTCCACAGCCTGCTTCTAATCGTGGCTACACATATGTGACTAGGAAGTTCACAAGTGGGCTATGACAACAACAGTGGCTTGCATCGAGCATGCAGCAAGTCAAGCAAGTCACTGCCTCTGAATACAGCTGTTCCATTTTTAGAAATTCTGCTTATCTATTTCTTTATTCAAAAAGCCAACAAACTTACTTGCAAACTCCACACTTTGTAATACTAGGGTTGCCATACGTCTGGAATTTCCCAGACATAGCCAGGATTTGGCCGTCCAAAACAGTGTCGAACAACTTTTGTGCATTTCCTTTTTGCTTATCCTAAACCTATTGCAATCAATTACCGTATTTTTCTGTGTATAAACTAGGTTTCCCCCCTAAAAAATAATGTCCAAAAATTGGGGGCGTCTTATACACAGATAGATATCAAATTTCACTAGGAGACTCAAGTGCTAGTGTTTTGAATAAAAAATTCTCTACAAAATGGCTCATCAGTTTATAAACCCTTCAGTGATTTTCGTTAAGGCTTTCTTCTTAAGGAAGGAGCTCCCCCATTATTTTTATCATTTCCTTCCCATTGCTATGTGGCATCTACAACAGTTTCTGAGACAAACTCACAGATTTAGGCTAAAGATTGTTGTTTTTAAGAGAGTTTAAAGTGGTATACTAGAGCCATTATTGCACTCCACATATGCACACATCTGAGAAACAGCTCTGGAATCAAAACATATGTGAGGCCTTCACATAGACATCGTCATAACCTAGCCAGAATAGCAGCCATTATGATTGAATCACTTTTCCCAGGTGTTACCAGCCCTCTAAGCATATCACCAACCACTGTACCTTGTGCATGAAGACAAGGGCACGCTCATGACAGTTGTTCACTTCTTCATAGCTGGGATCTGTTACACACTTGCTCTTTACCTGCTTCCGTCGCTGCTTGAGATAATTATACCACAGCTTGTAGCTGCAAAACACAAAGGGGGCAACTGTTAACATTAAAGTAAAAGATTTTGCCATGTTGCTCCCAGCTCTCATTACGAGGGGAGTTGGGTGATCAGCCTTGCTCCTGAAATAAACCAGGGAAACATCAACAGGGACAGCAAGGGGTTCCATCTGTTGAGGGTATTCCTGTCTGCTTTCAGAAGAGACCAGAAAACAGATCATAAGAAACTCCCCTCAATTCTGGAGAAGTTAAGAGTTAGCCTTTCATTTACATTTTTAATACAACAATGCCTTATGAGAATCTGGATTGAAAAAGGTTACCCTACTACCTTCATGCAGTTTGCTAAAGAACTTTACATAAAAGAAAGAGACACAAGTGCATACCTGCCTGGCAATTCCTTAAGAGCTCTCTCATAGATCAGATTCAAGATATGCTTAGGAGCATTTTGCTTGAACTCAATGTAGCGGATCCAGCACTTGACAGAGAAGGGGTTGCGCAATATTTCTTCTTCATATTGCAAGTCTTCCTCTTCCTGTGCAGGGGTGAAGAGCAAGGCGATATAAATTTAGAGAGAGGATGTACTATTATATTTCTTTGTGCAGCACCATTATAACTTAGGCACTCCAATGCTATCTTCAGGCTTTTGAAAAATGCTACCTAATTTTACATGTGAGGATATGAAAAATGAACCGAAAAATCATCACTTCATATTTTACTGCAGCCACAAATTCACTAAGTAATCTTTAGCAAGTCTCTGGCCCCAGCTCTAAGATCAAGTATGGGGGGGGGATGTACAATCTTACCTTACAGGACTACTGTAAGTTAGTAAGGACCAAAGCAGATATTATAGAGCAGCATTTCTCAATCTTGGGTCCCAAATATTGCTGGACTCCCATCATCGCTGACCACTGGTCCTGCTAGCTAGAAATGACAGGAATTGTAGTCCAACAACATCTGGGAACCCAAGGTTGAGAAAGGCTGTTACAAAGAATCACACAACAGCTGTCACTCTAAGCCTCTTCCTTTTTAAATGTCTGCTTAAAATAACATAGAGTGACATCATAAGCATCCCGCTTTAACATCATAGGCTGGCAGAAGAAGTATGATGGTGTCATATCACAATCTTTTTTGGTATTAAATGTTACAAGAAGGAGTGAGTCAAAGGGCACAAAGAGACAGCGGTTTTCTCTTGTAACAACACTTGGCCTGGCCATGAAATACCATACGGTACACGGGACATTTTGAACACTTAAAATTCGCTGCACATATGCAAAGTAGAATTATTGTGCAAGGCTATCACTCAGCGACTCGCCATTAGCAGGATTACATCGCTTTTCCTTGACTTGGTTCAATCTTGAGGGGAAAGAACTCTGCACATGTTCGAAGGAAGCCTCGCCTTTTATTTCACCGGCGGGGGGGGAGAGAATTAAGTTCTATGGACGAAGGGGAGCTCGGCCTAGGGAGGACCCGTCCGAGCATTTCACCCCCCGACACCTTCCCACCGGGCCCTACTCACGAAAAAGAGCTCCCGCTTCCCCAACACCGTCTCCAGCTCCGGCATCTTGGACGCTTCCCACCCCGAGCGAGGCGCACGGCAATGACGCACAAGCGCAGCTGCGGTTCAGAGCTCGGGCTCTCTCCTCCGCTTGCGTCACTTGGCCAGCAACAGTCCTATTGGTCATCCGACAGGGAGGGCGTTTCCTTTCTGTCTTCCGGCCGCCATGTTGCTTGCGGGAGCCATCTTCGGAAGACGTTGGGGGCGTGGCATATGCGAAAGTGGGCGGGGCCAAAGGGTGGGCGGGGCCCGTTCAGCATCGGCCAAGCGGCGCCATGGGGGTGAAGCTGGAGGTGTTCCGGGTCTGTGGCGCGCGGGGTCCTCCGGGGGTGGGGATTTCTCTTTCGCAGACATAAAGGGGCGAGGTCTTGTGCAGCTCCCACGGGGCAAAAACCTCCTCTGGTGACTCGCCCCGGCAGGCTCTCTCTTCGCTCTGGGGGCTTGATGGCCAACATGCGAGTTTAATATAAGATCCTCCCCCCTTGGAGCCCTTCACGTGCCTCGGAGAGCTTCGCTTTAATGGGTTAAAATATATAGCTGGAAGGGCAGGCAGCTCGATCGCTCGATCTTATTTTTAAGGCAATAGATGTAGTTTTGAATATCTGTTAGGTTTCATACATGCATAATGTTGGGAAGCACGTGAGAAAGAGCAGGTTACGCTTAGGGAAATGCCGTATGTCCTCCCCGAAGAGCAGGTCGGGGTGCTTACAATTCCAATGGGGAAACTGGTGAAATGCGCTGCTCGTTAATGGGCCCGAGGTGCCGCTGCGCCCTGCGTCTTCCTTCGCCCTAGAAGCACAGCCCTTAGTGTTGCCAGTGATCCCTTCCTTCTCTCCCTCCGCATCCTGGTGCATAATAACTTGGCCTGCAACCTAGATGTGCTTCTCTTCCTTTATGCCATTTCTCCTTTCTACCCTTACCTCTGCCATATGATGGTCGTCCTCCTGACCTTTTAGCCAAGGGATGAGAGGAAGCTTCTGCCGTTAAGGGCCAGATTGGGCAAAATCTAATAAAACCCTGCAAAGTGTCCCAATGCACCTGTATTACCATCTGACTTCCTATCTCCTTCTCTTGCAGATGATGCTGTATTTATCTTTTCCTGTTGCTATGTTCTGGATTTCAAATCAGGCAGAATATTTTGAAGAATATGTTATCAAGCGGAAGGTCAGTTTTCTCATGTAATTAGAAAGGGAAGAACAGGGTGGAGTAATGAAATCATTTCCAAACCTTTCCTGTGAGGTTTTATCTGGTTTTTTTTTTAAATTCTCATGCTGATTTCACCTCCGGAATTGGAAAAGAAAAACCCAGGCTTCCTTTTATTGCATTTTACTCAAAAGCCATATGCTGGGAGCCTGGCTTCTACAAGCAAGTACTGTATGCAAAAGCTGGCATTGCACACAATGCATCTAGTTGCTTCTGGTCTGCTGTTCAGCAGGAGTCATTGGTCTGTAAATAAACAAAATTAATAATAATAAGTGGAACCTGCAGCAAAATGTTGCAGCATATATTCTCTCCTAAAAGGAGGCTTCCTGTTCAGGGTTCCAGTCAGCCATTCCCTCCAAGGAGGGCTTTCCACTTCTCTCCTCTTCCTTTTTAATTTTTCCGCTCTCAGTCTATTTTCTATGAGCATTCTTAACCCTGGGCTATTTGTGGGGGCATTGCCTCTTTCAGTTTTAGTTTTAAAGACACCCTCTCCCACTTCTGCCACTATCAGGGTTACCCCAAGCATTCCGATGCTGTTCCTTGGTGGCCCCATTTGGGTTATGCTACTGTCTGTACTTGATACCTGAACTATTAGGAGAATAAACAAGATTTTCTCAACTGTGTTAAGAGGCCAGGACTTATCTCTTTCTTTCCTATGTAAATGTTCTTCTTAGGCATGAGACTCTTAATCTCAGGGTCTTAGGTTTGAGCCCCAGGTTGGACAAAAGATCTCTGCATTGCAGGGGGTTGGACTAGATGACTCTAGTGTTCCCTTCCAACTCTACAATTCTGATTCTATCACCAGTGACAGTCTCTTGAAACTTAGGAAGGCTTTTCAGTTCTCATAGAATTTTGGTTTGTTCGCTCACTCGAGCTGGCTGTATTTTCCCTGCCCTCTTGGTGTTTTTGACAAATTTGCCTGCTTTCTGATTGTACAGCAATGGAAATTTAGGTGGCATGGTTTTAATCTGTTTCAATATAAAAGCAGGACTCTCCAATAATATGATTCCCTTTTTAATCCTTTTCCTTCAGAGAGAGATATATCCACCTGAAGATAATTACCAGGTAAATATGCCTCAACAATGAATACTGCATGTCTAATCCAGGAGTGGGGAACCTGTGACCTTCCAGATGTTGGTCTGCAGCTCCCATCTTTCCTGACCATTGGCCATGCTGGCTAGGACTGGTGGGCATTGGGATTCCAACTGGAGGGCCACAAGCAGCCGACCCCCGGTCTAAGCGAACAAATCATTTATGATGAAATTGGCACTTCTGTCTTCTCCAGAGAAAAGAACTGGAAGACTTCAAAGAGAGAATGAGGAAGGAACACGAGAAGCGGATGCTGCAGTCAGCTAAGGAATAATGATGTACCATCATCCCCTTTCTCCCCAGGGTTTGATGCACTCTCAAGAAAGTTGTCATCACAAATCTCCTACTTTAACTTAATAAATGCCCTCTAAAACACTTTTTGTACTAAGAGATGAAGGGAATTGCAATGCAGTTTCACTTTGCATTCCTGAATAGTGGTTCTGTGCATACCTCCATGGCCATCAACGGAAAATGGGAAGAGGATGTAGGCTCCTTCCTTCGTGTTCTTCTGGCTCTTGCTGGGTGAAGCTGCTGAACCCTGTCTGCAAGTTTGGCAGCTGTCTTAGGAGAGTCACTTTGAATAAAAAGTTCTGTATAGAAAGACTGAATCTCTGTATGTCTTTCAGTAAAGTTATCTGGGTATCTTCAGAGATGCAAGTTATATTTCACTTGTCCTCCTTGGACTGAAGATCTATTTTATCCAGGTGGGTCCTTCTGCATTGCTTTCTTCTCTTATTGCTCTGGTTTGCACATCACATTAAACCATAGTAAAATAAACTATTGTTTAGTGTGAATGGGCTGCTAAAAGCATGGGTGCAAGACAGATGGCTGAACAGGCCTTTGATTTGCTGGAAAATATGCAATTTTATGAAGATGGGAGAAAAGTAGTTTGGTGCTGCAGGTGAACAGCCGGCCATGATCTCTCTTTTACATTTTGTCAAACTTTCCTTCTTGTGACTTCTGAAAACTAAAAGTACAATCCACCCCCACCCCCCGATAACTCTGTAATTCTGGCAGTCCCATTGTGTAATCACCCAGTGTATTGAAAGCTTGATAGTTCAATATTCAAAATCCAACGTACTTTCACGATGTTCTGTTCTTGCTGGGCATGACCCTGTTCCATAAATGACTACCCATTTTACACTCTGTTCCGAGAAACCTTTTTTAATTGCATTTATACATTTGAGGCAGCACTTGCCTCAATGTCCAAGGGAACACTGCTAGGCATGTTAAGAGGGATAGAAGTAGAGGAATCTGATGTGTATGTGGGGAGGGGGACTTTGTGGGTAGAACTGCTTGCATCCTATGGGGAAGCAGTGCCAGGGCTTAGTGGATTTGAGAAACAAGGTGCGTGCTTGTGTCTTGGGTAGCAGGACTTGACAAATATCTCATGCAAGGACATTGAAAGAACCTCGTTATCAAAAATATTTGTAGATTACATCCCTACTGCTGGGGTGGAGGAAATGTGAGATTAAAGCAAAGCACGGTAGATTTGGGAGAGAGGGGTATTGCAGATCTGTGCCTTTAGGAGGAAGTGCTAGGATCCTGGGCACTGACAGGTTTGGGGGTTGGACTTTTTACTTTGCCCTTAGCAGCTTCAAGCTGCTTGCCATGGATGCGGTTGATGAAAGAGAAATAATCATCCATGGGTGCAATGGGAACAACTGATATATCTGAAGCGGCACCTTCTGGTAAAGCCAAGTCCTTGCTCTCCTGTTGAAGCAAAGAGAAAAGTCAGTTTCACCCCAGATTCTTCTTTCATGTCTTCATTCGGCATCTAATCTCATCCATGACCCTGATAGCCTAAGACTAGCCTGCATGAACATAGATTATACCTTCCTATACATCAAAATCCCGACCGCAGCAGCTTTGTGCAGTAAACAACCTCTAGTTCCCCATCAGAACCACCATTAGCACCATCCACCCTTTTCTGTCACTCATATAGTCCACATTACTATACCGACAGCTCAGGCCACTGGGTAGAATCTCAAGGTCTTCTGTCCTCCTAAGGACAGGCAACTCTGGTCTATTAGGTCACATCACTTCCAAACCATCTGGAAAAGATGCGTCAGTTGTGAAAGGTACGCATCTATTGAAAGACGTTTTGGGCACCCTGGTGGTTATCACCAATTGAAGCTTTGTTACTCAAACCGTTTGGTATAAAAAGAGGACGTGGCCTACATATAGAGATTACTGAGAGATCAAGAAGGAAAATAGAAATTAAAAGATTATGAGGAAATTAAAGACCATTTTCAGAGTTGGCTGCATTACAGACAAATACATGAAATGTACAAGGAAGATAATAAGAAGGGGTTTGGCTATACAATTTCTAGATTTCAAAAGGAAGTTATAGAAGAAGAAGTGAAGCTGCTGAAGAAAGCATATAGTATTCTGCTAGAATGGGAAACAAAAGATGAAGAGGTCAAATCAGTTATAATCAAATGGGCACAAGATATAGGACACTATATAGTTTGAGGACTGGAAAAAGCTGTGGAAGGTAGATTTGAAATTGTTCTCTGACTGTTCTCTGCTGAAAGAAAACTCTATGAAAACGATGTATAGATGGTATATTACACCAGTACAAATAGCAAAAATGTATAAAACCGGGTCAAACATATGTTGGAAATGTAAAAAAGGTACTTTCTATCATGTGGTGGGAATGTAGAGAAGTTAAAAAATTTTGGGAAATGATATATAATGAATTGGAAAAAAATGTTTTAAATGGCATTTGTAAAAAACAACAACCCCAAAAGCATTTTTGTTAGGGATTGTAGGACAAGACCTGCCAAGAAAAAAAAAAATATTTATGTATGCTACAACAGCGGCAAGAGTCTTGTTAGCACAAAGATGAAAGAATGAGGAAATCCCAACGAAAGAACAGTGGCAAGAAAAATTGATGAGGTATGCTGAACTGGCCAAGTTGACATATAAACTGTGTGACAAGGACAATCATGACTTCAAGGAAGAATGGGAACTTTTCACAACTTATTTAAAAAGTCAACAAAATGATTTGGACTCCTTGGCAGGTTTTGAATAAACCTCCACAAATTTATTTGTTGAATATATGATCGATAAGGCAATGGTATGTACAATTTTACAATATGCAGAGGATAATACGTGTAAAGAAACCGGAGAGAGGAACTGAGGGAAGTCCCTGGGGGAGGGGAGGGGATAAACAACGGGGGGGGGGGAATGTAAATGGATAGTATTGATTGATAAGCTGGTTGTGTGTGTGTGTGTGTGTTTTGGGGATTCAAGTTTAGGTGAGATGGATGACAACATTTGTTATTACACGGAAAGCAGAAGATAAAAACTTAGCCTGTACTTTTAAGTACTATTTCCATAGCTAGGTTCCTTACCAGTGTTGCTCAGTTTCCACAGGCCTTCATTTCCTGCATCCCTCCCTCTCAGAGTCCACACATAAACGCAGATTACAAATTTCATTTCTTCCTCTCTGCCCAAGTGCTGCTCTTTCAGCCACACATACAGCATACATGAGCACACACAACCTATTCAGAAAAGACTCCATGGGTAAAGTGCTTGCCATTCCCCCAACCTACCAAATCCAATTTTTCACAACCCAAAACACAACAGGGCCACCCAATTGGCTCTTTCAGGCACTGTGGTGGCCCTGGGCACCAGGTTGGCAATTCCTGTCATATGGGTACAGTGTTGTTGATGAAAGGTTTCAGTGTGCCTCTGACCAGATCTGTATATCCTTCAAGTTTCAAGGGTCTGGAACAGTTTGTGTTTCAGGGAAGAATGGCTTGAGGGGATCAGCAACAAGGTTACTTTAAAGATTTAATTTTGTGCACTCTCTGTTTTAAAGGAGTTGTTCATAGTTTGCAAATAGGGAGTCTGATACTGAAGTAGGATGCAGGGCTTAGACCAGGGGTCTGCAACCTTTAAGACAAAAAGAGCCACTTGGACCCGTTTCCGAAGGAAAAAAAACTGGGAGCCGCAAAACTCGTCATTATAAAAATAACTTTTTTGTCACCTTTTTTATTATTTCTTTGACCCCTCAGAATTACTCCTCCTCATAGAAATAAACGTTAAATTAACAAGTTACCTTTTGTGTGTGTGTGTGTGTTCTTCACTCCCCTTCAAAACAGTGACCAGCGTACATGCCCCCTTTCAATGCAGTGACCAGCGTACATGCCCCTTACAATGTAGCGGGCGGGCGGGCGGCGGGAAGGTGATGTCGGGATGGTGCGTGACTAACGCATGCACCGCCCCCATGCGACGTCACAGCCAGTACAGCGCCCGCCAACCTCAAATTGCCTGGCTGTAGTGGTAGAATTTGCCTTTTTCCGGCAATAATTGCCTCTTCATTTTTGTGCCATGGGAGTGTGGAGATCAGCACTTTCAAATGTGCTTTGGGTGATTTGCAAAAACCCTTTTTTACCAGTACAAAGCTAACTTTGGGCCAGATAGCTTATGGCAGACATCTATATACATGCCTTATTTTTTAAAAAAGAATCCTTGCTGAACGTAAGATGGCAAAGCAGCAGTGTACGTGGTGAATCTCTTCACAAGAACGAGATCCACATTGATCTCTGAATAGATGCATCCACTCTTGGAATGGAGATAGAAGATGCACCAGGAAGCCAATGTGTGTTCATGTGTTTCAATCAGTGATTCTGCTGCCAACTTAATTTGCTGATGTTTGTGTGCTTCCAGAGTGCATTTTAAATAGAGGAGGAATGGCTGGCTGAGGATAGCTGCTGAAGCCAGTCTGCACCCACTTTCTTCGGTCTCACTCTGTTAATCATTGGCTGACAGCTGCTTATCCTGTTACAGAAGGTGGAATTATGTTACTCTGCAGTATCAGTGTACCCATGGGTAGATCTCATTGATGTGTGTGATTTGACCTGGGCATGGTGTACATGGAATTTAAGTCTGGATCAGAACGTGGGCATCACAGACTTGTTGGCTGAGCTTTCTGCTTATATATGAACCATAAGCCACCAAGGAACCTGTGATTCCCAATGCATACAATCCAACATAAAATTATGTGCACTTATGAAGGCTGATGGTGGGTGGCTAACTCTGTGTTGGGCTGCGATGGATATGTGTGTCATCACTCCATATTTATTCCAGGGAGCATCTCCACATAGTCACTTAATGTGTGCTCTTTCTTGCCTTTTTATTCCCATTACTTACACTTGCGACTAGTTATTGTAGTTGCTCACACACTTGATGTGTACGCACCACACCATACATACATGTTGGCATGCATATGCACCCCTTGTGCTCACCTTCTTGCCAAATAATTCCTAAGTATCAATCCCTCTATTTCTTAGCTATGTTCAGGGGTCACGGCTCATTCTTATGTAGCCAAAATGGCACTACTACACCCCAAAACAGTATTAAAGGTAAAGGGGAACCCTGACCATTAGGTCCAGTCGTGACTGACTCTGGGGTTGCGGCGCTCATCTCGCTTTGTTGGCCAAGGGAGCCGGCGTACAGCTTCCGGGTCATGTGACCAGCATGACTAAGCCGCTTCTGGCAAACCAGAGCAGTGCATGGAAATGCCGTTTACCTTCCCGCCGGAGCGGTACCTAGTTATCTACTTGCACTTTGGCATTCTTTTGAACTGCTAGGTTGGCAGGAGCAGGGACCGAGCAACAGGAGCTCACCCCGTCGCGGGGATTCGAACTGCCAACCTTCTGATCGGCAAGTCCTAGGCACTGTCATTTAACCCACAGCGCCACCCGCGGCCAAAAACAGTATTACCCATGCACAAAAAGCAGGTATGAGCAAGATGGAGGTGTGTGCATACACAACCACACATGCTTATGCATGCTCTATCCAACTACTTGTGCTGTGTTTCAGTGAGTGGTTACTACATGTGCGCGTTCAGGGATCGGGTTTATGTTTCTTGATTTTATTTGTTCATTTATTGCATTTGTCTGTGGAAGGCATTGATCCCTTCCCTCACACATTTTTTCTTTACAACAACCCTGTGAGGTAGGTGAGGTTGCAATTGGCTCAAGGTGACCAATGTTGATGTGTAGATGACGTCTGTGTGAAGCAGGATCCAGCACAGGAGATGCTTCCTGATGGAGAACAGACTGTCCCTATTTTCCTCGGAGAAACATTGGAGGGAATGTAACCATATACTTTCCATGCAAATGATCATCACAGAAGCTCAGTGGCTACTGATCCTACAGAGGGGGATTTAGAGCAGAGAAGCCTGGGGTGTAACTGTTTCCTTGCTACTTTGTTCCTTGTAAAGGTTCTTCCAGTCACCTGTTTTGTAGTGCATTCATGGTGTTTTGCAGTTAGGATGGTATTAGGCAGTTTCACACGACCCTGCTTTCAATTCTGTATGCAGAGGTGGATTTGGGGTGTGTGTGTGCACGGCCGGTTCAGTGGCACTGGGCACGGAGCTGCAGGGGACACCGCAATTATGATTTAGTGTGGGAGGTGGGAGGGGCACCAGATTTTGGCATCTCACAGGGCACTGCTGAAATTTGAGACCCCAAAGTCTGCCATTTCTGTATGGACCTGGAAAGATTTTGGGGCAGACTTACTGCTATGTTTCCAATAAGTGCATATCCCATAACTTTCTGCTGGCATCCTGTAACTTTTTATACCACAAATGTTCTGGGATGGTTCCGCTTTTGTGTGCAAGAGTGTCCTTCCAGATGACAGTATTGCAATAACTTTGGGGAAGCATCACAGAACAACTAGTAAAGTGGCATGATGTGTGTAAATCTACCACTAAGGCACTATTATTGGTCAATACGTGAGAAGAATTCCAGTCTGGAGAGGCCCAACCTCTCATCTTGCACCTTCTGCCATTTTAATATGTGGGGTGTATGTGTGTGTTTTAACTCTCAGGGGTGGGTGGGCAATAACACAAATATTAATAGTTTAGTGTTTAGAGCATAGATAGGGAACCTGTGAACCACGAGATGATGTTGGACTCCCATCATTCCTGACCATTGGTTGTGTTGGCTGGAGCTGATAGGAATTAGAGTCACAACAACATGAACTGAATTAAACTGATTATTGCGATACATTTCAGTCAAGGTTCAGGCCTGCTTATAGGGCTGAATTGCCCTTGATCGCCCTGATGGATGATCTTTTATAGGGACATAGTCAGTGGGACTGTAGATCCTCTTATTCTTACTTGATCACTCAGCAACTTTTTACACCGTCGGCCTGTGATATCATGAACCAAATCAGTAAGATGGGTATTTGGGACACTGTTTTACAATGGTTCCGATCCCATCCCTGAGGTGTGCTTCAAAGAAGAGCATGGATGATTATATCTTTTGGCTCCCTGGTGAATGGTGCTGTTCGATGCTGCAGGGACCATCTTGTCCCCAATGCTATTTAACATCTACATGAACCATTCTGAGTGGGCATTAGTAGATTTGAGGTGAGGTGACATTAATATGTTTATGATCCCCAGTTTTATTTCTTTGGGACATCTGAATCAGGAGAGGCTATGAAATTGGCAAGGTTGAGGTGCTGTAAGTGAGCAGCTCTTGCGCTTGGATAGTTGTTCAATTGCCTGTTTTGGACAGGGTCATACTCCCCCTAAAGAAGCAGGTTTCTAGTCTGGGGATAATCCTGGATTCATCTGTCATTAGAGGCCCTGTTGACTTCAGGGTTGACTTTTAGCAACTTCAGCTAGTAAGGCACTTACAGCTGTTCTTGGACCAGGATAGCTTAACCAGTGTCATCAGTGTACTATTAACCTCCAAACTGGATTACTATAATGTACTTTTTGTGGGGCTGCCCCAGAAGCTGCAGCTGGTGCAAAACATAGCATCTTGACTGCTTACTGGGGTAGAATATTACCACCATATTACATTAGTACTGAAGGGATTGCACTAGCTGCCGATTAGCTAGCAAGCTAAATTCAGGATGTTAGTACTGTTAGAATTCCTGCTCTGTGATTGCAGTCATAGGATTGTTGTCTATCACATGACGGTGCATGTTTTGACTCCACAGAGTGGGAAGTGATGGAGACAGGATGTTTGTGTTACTGTGTTCCGTGTTGTGGGACTATTGTCCTTTGTTCTTTCCCTTTGTTGTCTGATGCTAGAGAGAGAGGGAGCCATGTTGCAGTGCTTTGTGTGTGTTTATATGTAAATAAAGTATATTAGCAAAAATTATGAGTTGCTGAGGTCTGTCATGCAAGTTGCGAAGACTCTGTGGATCCCAAGTGTGCCGGTGTCTGTTGGCATCGGTCGCTGTGCTGTTCAGGCTGAAGAAAGCTTTTGAACGATCGACCAGGAGGAAGGGAACATGCCAGTTGGGCATGTGTCTCTGCCAGGGTCCTACTCGAGTGTAGGCTGAGCTCCTGACAAGTACTAGTGTGCAAAGCCCTGTGCGGTTTGGGACTAGGATCCCTAAAATATTATCTCATCCCTTATATATAACTGATCACCACTACTCAGCAGGAGAGGGCCTCTTGCAGTTATTGTCTCTACAGGAGGTTCATTTCATGTAACACAGGAACTGGGCCTTTGCTGTGGTGGCACCTACCCTTTGGAATTCCTTCCTGTTATACATCAGATAAGTGCTGTCTTTACTGTCTTTTGGATGCCTATTGAAGACCTTGGTTTTTTCCCAATAAGCCCTTTTAAGTGGAATTTTTTGTCTGCGTTTGTGTTGGATTTGAAATTGTTTTTATATATGTATTCATTGTGGATATTATGTTGCTTGTTTAAATTGCTTCAGAATGTTTCATAGGAAGCGATTTCAATGAAATCAATGAAAACAGCCAGAGGGTCACAGGTCCAATTATCGGTGCGTGTGTGTGTGTGTGTGTGTGTGTGTGTGTGTGTGTGTTTGTCAACATGTGTATACAATCCCACCACACTCATCCATGTGTTACTGTTCAGCCCCCAACACTTACCTTTTCATTCTATGGGCCACTTCTGACAGTCCTTTATTAAACTCATTTTAAGATTTGCCCTCCATGTGCTTTCCCCCCTATACCTATGATTTTTCTGCTCATTTACTACTAATGTGAAAAGGTCCGATTACCCATCTGGCACAGGGGTTTTGGAACATGGACTTGAGTCGCATCCAGATGACCGGTTTGTTAAGCATTTGTCCTGATTTTTTCATACAGAATTTGCGAGGGGGTTATAAGACGTTGGCCCTTTATTGAACATTCTGACTTGTTTGCAGGGAGGTTCAGTGTTGCTTCAAGCAAATGTAATCCCACACTTTCTGGAGCATTTTTCTGTCAGTTATTGCAAAAAGTTTAACTTGGGATGGGTTGGGGAGGGAACAGAAAGTAAGTTTGTCGCAGAAGAGGTCCAAATCAGGTTTTAATTGTGCAACCTGAAATTGCCAGTATGTGACTGGAGCCTTCTTGAAAATAGTGACACTGTATTTAGGTGTAAATTTATTGAAGTGGTTGTGACATGAAGGACACCCGTGGATTATGCTCAGTTCATCAGAGGGAAAGGCAGGATTCCAACTCCAGGAGCAGCTGGGAGTGACTTAGTGCAATTTTACCTCCCCTCTTACCACCACGAGAGCATGCTATTTGCAATGGTTGTTTCATGTACAAGAGTGCAGTTCTCGTTTCCCTGCTCCCTTGCTGCTAAGGGTCATCTGCTAAGGAAACCAACAAGGAAGAAACCATCTGAGTCTTTATTGGACTGGCAGGGCATGTACAGAGAATGAGCAGGGCGGGTACTGCAATGAGGGGTTGCTATTGGGCGAGTGGCGGAGTGCTGTGCTTGGTGGCATTAGGTCGGTGTCTGTCTGCCACCTTCCCTGATCAGGACTGGGGAGGTACTCATTTCTGCAAAGAAGAAAATACAGTGGTGGTAGTGCAGCCAAGGACGGGAGCGTTTCCTTCCCTATAGAGCTGCCCATGGCACATACAGACACATAAATACAGAAACATTGAACAGACTTCCATCAAGATTGCAAGAGGCTGTGGGTGGATGCAGTGTGTTCTGTCGCTGTTTCTCATATTCACTGATGACCTGCATCTCGAAGTGTTACCTGACACCACCTGCCTGTAGAGAGCCAAAACCATCTATTGTAGCCCCAAGCTAGGAATGGCTTGGCTATTGAGTGCCTAGGTCCAAGCACCCCAAGGATAGGAAAGGCAGAAAGGCAGAAAGAAAGAAAGGCAGAAAAGCCAGAAGGAAGAAGGAGGGAGGGAGGGAGGGAGGGAGGGAGGGAGGGAGGGAGGGAGGAGGAAGGAAGGAAGGAAGGAAGGAAGGAAGGAAGGAAGGAAGGAAGGAAGGAAGGGGCTGCTACCTGAACCCTGGGCATTTGTGGGTGATTACCGTAATCTAGGCAAATGATGGCATTTTCAAGCTTTGCCTTTCATAAACTTCTGGACCCATTTCCAGCACTTAAAAAGTTGCTTCCCAGGCTTGCTTCACTGTTTCATGGATGTCAGGACCACAAGGATTGTCAAAAGGCAGGGCATGCCTTACTGCCCACCCTGTCCGGTGTTATGTACTAAGCTTGGATCCTAGAACAATAGGCAAGTAGGATCCTAGAATGCAACAACTGATTGGTCTTTCTCTTTAGCTAGATTCAGCTAATGCTCCTTCATGTGTAATGCCCCTTCTGTGGCCCAGAAGAAGTGTGCATAGATTTGCAGAGGCCCTATGTGTCTAGGTAATGCTCTCTCTGGCATTCACTTTACATCTATGCCACCAAGTCAAACCCAGCCCCAGGACATGAACAAGTTTTGTAGAAAGTGTCATCCTGGAGATGCCTCTTGTGGACACGACACAGTACGGCACAGACAAGGCCTCATGTTGTTCCAGCCAGAAAACACAGGAAAGAAACAGAAATAAAGAGTTAATCAGTTGAATAACAAGGAGAATATCACAAGGCCACCCCAAGCAGGGCAAGGGTTAGTGACAGTCTGTCAAAGAGACTCAATAAGGAAGGTTAATACGTGCATCATTCAGGAGTATTAATGGGGCCACAGGGAAAAGACATTGTGCGGATATGTATGGCGGGACATCTTCTGAGGCATAACTGCTCTTCTCTGCAGGGTGTGTGTTGCTGCTCTTCCTCAGTGGCAGAAAATGATAGATTGGCTACTTTGCCAAAAGCACACTGAAAACAGGTTTGGTAATTTAGTTTTTATGGAGGAATTCAACAGAGCGCTGAGGAGATTGCTCCATCCATGCTAGGTCTACTGCTAGCCTGATGGAACCATGTTCCCTCTCCTCCTGCTGCATGCTGCTTTGGAGGTTCTCCTGGACCCTCCAATAATTTGGAAGTGCATAGGGGGAGAGGGAAATTCCCATTGCACAGGCTTCTCCTAGTGGGGCATGTTAGCTGACTCCAGCCCTCAAAGATGAGAAGCACAATATGACTGATTTACAGATAATCAGTGGTGTAGAACCTTGTGTTTGTTTATGCAGGTCTGGCTGGTAGATAGAACCAAGTAGGTTTGATGGGGTGAAAGGAAGAGAAGGAGAAGCTACTACATGAAGTAGCCCACAGTCCCATCTCGGAGGCCACAGTGGTTATGTAATGGCTAATCCCAGTCCCCTAAAGTCCGCAATGTACTTAAATAGTACATCTCCCTTGGAGGTACAAAGGGAAATGGCCCGCAAGAGAGCCTTTTCTATAATGGCTACAAAATTGTGGAATTTCCTCCTTACACAGGGGCATCAGACACTGTTTCTTGACATGGTCATTGAAGAAGTGCATCTTCTCATTGGCTTTTGACAGCTGAATCAGCATTGCTAGTCAGTGTTTTTTTTCTGGGGGGACATGGGTACGCATACCCCTAAACATTTTGTGAATCTTTGTACTTTTGTCCATTTACTGTATTTATTTTTCCCGATTTGAACAATAAAATGGTGATTTTCTGGAGTAAAAATGAGAGTACCCCTAAACATTTTTAAAGAAAAAAAAGCACTGTTGCTAGTGTCTCCCCATATACCGCCGGTTTTGTTGATATGTACATATGCATTGTATGGCACTTTGGGGTGGGGCTGTTTTATTTTATTACATTCTTTAAAAAAAATTTTTAGATGGAACCTGCCCTGGGACTTTATGGTGAAGGGCAGGTAACAAAAGTAAATGATGATGATGATGATGATGATGATGATAGTATATGCATGCAGAAATACATTTGCTGTATGTTACAATTTTGTAGATATAAATAGAATTAAGGTGGCCTGAGAGAAAAATAGAGAATAACGGTATGTGGGTGTATGCATGCGTGTCTGCTTTTTCGCATTAAAATCTTGAGTTACTTGTGTCAAGTGTGAATGCTATTAATGTGGAAACAAACAAACAAACAAAAATCAGAAGCCTCTTAGTATGCAGACATGCAAAATAAATTATGATGATACCAACTTTGTGTCAACTCCTTGCCATCTGCTCTGTGTAGAGATGGTAATAAGTGAATCCTACTTGTTGCTGCAAATGAATGTGGGAACTAGCAGAAACTCTTGTTAACAGACAATAGTTACCAGTTGGGCTTTAAGCATCAGTTTAGCTCTAAGAAAATGTGAAGCAAACAATTTTAGTAATAAAAGGTAAGTTTTCTGCTAGTGTGCAGTGTCCTGAGGGAACAAGTGATACTGCTCTCTAGTAGGAAGAATGTCTTTTAAGCGAAAATCATGGTAGTGGCATAGATGAAACTGATGTTTATTAGAATATAGACAATGCTGCTTTTCAGGGTATTGAATGCATTATATTTTCTTGGTATTCATCCTCCTACTTTCATCTCTAGTAAACATATTTTGCAGGTTTTTTTAATGCTTGCACAACAATACATGAACTTTGATGGTGGTATGTTTGCATTTTGTTTTCACTGTGATATCTTTTGAGGATTTTTACTGCTATTATTTGCATTATTTTGCCATTTCAGCTTGTTCTCCATTTCTGTTATTTTTCAATATTTGATATGGTTTTTAGTGATTGGTGTGAATTGCTTATGTATGTCACCTTTTAGAGTGGAAGGACAGGGCAAATATTTTTAAAAAGTACATCAAGTCCAATGAGCCACAGTGCCTCTACAAATCCTATTGCTTGTTTCCAGAAACAAGCTGTGTTTGCAGAAACAGGCTGTGACTGTGACATAGCCTGACTCACGTGCATTTCCAGCTGTGCTACAGTTTTACTGTGCAGGTAACTTTTGGGGCTGGACCTAGACTTAGACATGCGGGTCTTCCATTAGTTCCATTAACAGGGACTTCATGGTTCTGCTCTAAGCATGTCTAAGTCAAGATAGAACCCAGAGTCTCCCTGCCCTGCCCACTGCTTTCCCATCTCCCTCTCACCTTGGTGGCCCCAGAGGCCGGTTTGTTGCTGGCATTACGGTCAGCGTTTTGGAAGCCTGGGAGGTAGTTGAAGCTGACCCGCTGATCGTCCATCCGCCGGCTCTGCGTATGCGCCAGCATATCCATGAAGTTGTCCATCTCTGGGGGTGGGCTGGGGCTGTTCTCTGCCCAAGAAATGGAAAAGGGCATTAGGGAAAGGCATACAGAGGGAGCACAGCACTGGGACTGATCTTGCCTCCCTTAGGTATCATGGACTTCTAGCAGTCAGTATTTGGTATCAGATTCAGCAGAAAGAGCACCCTCCCATTAGCACAACAGTTCTCTGTGGAGTATAAGGGATGTGGGTGGTGCTGTGGGTTAAACCACAGAGCCTAGGACTTGCCGATCAGAAGGTCGGCGGTTCGAATCCCTGCGACGGGATGAGCTCCCGTTGCTCGGTCCCTGCTCCTACCAACTTAGCAGTTCGAAAGCACATCAAAGTGCAAGTAGATAAATAGGTACCACTCTGGTGGGAAGGTAAACGGCATTTCCGTGCGCTGCTCTGGTTCGTCAGAAGCGGCTTAGTCACGCTGGCCACATGTACGCCAGCTTTCCTGATACAGAGCTGGGGGTGGGTAAATGTGTCAGTTTTTGTCTCTCTCAGTTACACATTTACCCAATATTACACTTATGCCTACTATACAATTTTTCACAAAACAATTTCCTGTAATATGAATTTTTTAATATTTTATCTGATATATATATATATATTATGCACACTTTATGCTACAGCTGCTATATATCCGGGATTTCAAAGGTGGAATCGACATCTGGGGGGAATTTCCAAAAGGCGGTGCTTCGTCCTAGATCTTAGGCATGTGTTTTTTTAAAACAAAAGCTCAACAATTTTGGGCTTTTCTTACAAAATTTCAACAGTTTTGTGGTGTCCTGGTTTTTACTTTTTGAAATATGACTACCCTAAATATGCATTTTTTTGGTACATGCTACTTGGCTGGAGAGCTGCAATAAAATATTTGGAGAAGTATGAATTCCAAAAGATGGTTGCATTTTGCTCTGCGTATTCTTTTGAAAAGTGCAAAGACAGCTTGACCTCTAAATGCAACTGAGGGAGAAATTTAGCATAGTACTATGGCAATTATCGCATCAGCGCAAGCTTTTCAGCTTGCCAGGAGGAATAATCCCCCCTTTCCTCTTCCTATTCACTATCCTGGGGGTTTCCCCAAACCATCCAGAACCATTTTTTGGGGTGGTGGTGGAAGCCCAGTTGTGCTAGAGGAAGTCCTTGTGTGGGCTTGCATAAGTGGGACTAGATATCAGAGTCCTACCCTGAATAAAATCTCTCTCTCATCCTTGCTTCATTGTGCAAAGATGCTTTCAGCTAGCTTTGTACCTATGATCCACAAATGCATTGGAAGACTTTATGACCTAATAGAATTTCAAAAGCAGTTGTTCACATATTACCAAAATCTGAGACGGGGGTCAGCAGTTTTATGAGAAAACAGCCTCCAAGGAGAGATGGACCTCACCTAGGCTTGGGGTAGTCAAGACCAAGAGCTGTGCTAGCTTTTGCAAAAATGTGCCCACTGACCAGAACTTGCCCCTCACACCCAGCCTTGGTTAACTCACTCTTCTCAGTGTCTGAGCCGCTCTTGTTGTGAACAATCTGAATGTTGCATCGTTGCTCATCCATGCGACCTCCTTGTACATGGGTCAGCAGACTGAAGAATCCTTCTTGTTCTGGGGAACCCGACTGCAAAACAAGGACAACAAATAAACAGGGCCTGACATCATGTATCCTGTGCCCTTGTGGGTCCTCCCCTCTGGCTGGCTTTCATCAGCAACATGAGGAGCAAAGCTGTGTTGTTTCCTAACTTTTGCCAAAGCACTCAGCAGGAACTGCTGCAGGTAGGTGAGACACACACACATGCCTCCGACGGGGTTTTCAACCCTCTTATATGGTACTGGATTACAAACAGTTCTGTGGTGTCTTCCTCTGTGGATCCTATCTTCATCTGTCAGAGCTGGATTTTGGTGGGAAATGTGGAGAATACATCTTCCTCTGCCTTGTTGAACTTAACCAGTCAGGAAGTTACACAGCTTCCTATACATTTTACGTACAGTACAGGGATGTGTAGGCATAAGATAGGCATTACCAGTAACAGTACTTAGCATTTATATAGTGTATTTTGAGTGTACAAAGCAGTTCACACACATCGTCTCAATAATCCTTACAACAGCTCTGCAAGCACCTCTTTACCCTGGCTTTTGATGTTTGAAGTGTATGTTTTTGGACCCAACTACCCACACATCATATTCAGTATAATGCTGATTTCTGTTTCCAGATCTGCTTAGTAGGGCAAAAGTTTCCTCCTCCCTTAATTTACCCCATTATGCTGGCTGATTCTCCAGTGGATTGAAGGTTGGTGATCTTACCCATCTTTTGACAGCAGTTGTGCCAACTTGAATAAATTATTGGGAGGGGGGAGGTAAGCCCCACCCCACATAATCAATCACATGATGTGGTGCATGAACACCATTTGAATGGCAATGCCCATCAACTTCGGAGGGGGGGGAAGCAACCTCAAATAATTTATTGGGGGAGCCAAAGGCACCTTGGCCCTATGTTTGACAGTCACTTTGTTTAAAGTCTGAAAACAAGGGATTTTTTGTAGCCTAAAGCCTAAGATTATGTTATGGACCATCTGCACTGTGAGACAAGTATCCTTGCAGTTAACAACTCTCCTTAGGATCATATACCTAGACCAGTGTTCCCCAACCTTGGGCCTCCAGCTGTTTTTGGACTACAACTCCCATCATCCCTCGCTAGCAAGACCAGTGGTCAAGGATGATGGGAATTGTAGTCCAAAAACAGCTGGAGGCCCAAGGTTGGGGAACACTGACCTAGACTGACACTGTCTTGTTGACGGACGGCTCCTCAGAGCACACAATGACACAAGGCCTCTCAAGCACACTCCACACATGTGACAAATTTCCAGCATGGCTATACCTTCTTTGTAGAACACTGCTTGTCTTGTACAGCTAATACAGCCATGTATCTTTCAAGGTGTGCACTTGCTGCAAGAACCCACAGTCAACTGGGGCTGCCTACCACATGTGCAGGTAATGGAACTGACACAGATGAGGCACTTCTAATTTCCTACACACACAAGACCTACAAAGGAACATAATGTGTGAAGCTGCCTCCTCAGTCACCAATATCTTCAGGCTAAAAAGAAGCATAAAGCCCCAACTTGCTCTGGTGCATAAGAGCTGAACTAAGCCAGCTGTGTCTGACTAAAGCAACTCTGAACAATGAGAATCCACCCACCTCCCCATGCAGCTGCTTCAATTACTTAATTCCCAATACTGCTAACTAGTGCTATTTTTCTACAAAAAGAGGTGCCTCCCTTGCAGACCCTCCAAGTGTCCCTATTTTCCAGGGACGTCCCTGATTTAGAGAAGCCGTCCCAGTTTCTGATTTGATCCCGGAATGTCCCACTTTTCCTTAGAAGGTCCCTGTTGGAGAAATATTGGAGGGTATGGAGTTATCCGACCCCTGAGCCGTCTGAAAGAAATCCTGTATAGGGAAGGTTTTTTAAAAAAATGTTTAATGTTTTATTATGTTTTTATATACGTTGGGAGCTGCCCAGAGTGGCTGGGGCAACATAGTAAGATGTGTGGGGTATAAATAGTAAAATTATCATTATGGAATGAGACATCCCTATTTTCATTGGAGAAATCTTGGAAGGCATGCCCTTCTTCTCTTACAATGGCACCCACCTGAGGGGTGCTGGAGTGGAGTTCAGACTGGAAAAAAAAGCCCTGCTGCACATTCCTAGCCATTCTCAGTCTCTGATTATCATTTGCCTCCTCATACCAGATTTCTAAAGGGGCGTGGGTGGCGCTGTGGGTAAAACCTCAGCGCCTAGGGCTTGCCGATCGCATGGTCGGCGGTTTGAATCCCCGCGGCGGGGTGAGCTCCCGTCTTTCGGTCCCAGCTCCTGCCCACCTAGCAGTTTGAAAGCACTACTAAGTGCAAGTAGATAAATAGGTACCGCTTTATAGCGGGAAGGTAAACGGCGTTTCCGTGTGCTGTGCTGGTGCTGGCTCGCCAGAGCAGCTTCGTCACGCTGGCCACGTGACCTGGAAGTGTCTCCGGACAGCGCTGGCCCCTGGCCTCTTAAGTGAGATGGGCGCACAACCCTAGAGTCGGACACGACTGGCCCGTACGGGCAGGGGTACCTTTACCTTTACCTTACCAGATTTCTAAGTGGTTCCTACAGCCTCTCTTGGAATGCTTTTATTCAGACAAGTCACTTTTTATTTTTCTCATTGATATAGTCAAATGACATCCCTTAAGAGGCTTATTTCATCAGAAAGCTAGGTTTCCCCACCCCCACCCCCTGTCCTTCTTCAAATAATAATTATCATAGGTCTGTGGATTTCAGGCTTTAGAAATGATAGAATTGGATGTGCAGGTTTGAGATTTTTTTAATTTTTTTTAAGTGTGAAATCTTCCATTTGCCTTTTATCCATCTTGTGATTTCAAGGCTGATCTGAAGTTTGAACTGGGGTATTCACAGCTCAGTGTTTTAACTGTTAAATGTGATTAAACTATTATACTATATGGAGCTAAGTTTCATTTTGTACAGTGTTTGAATTATCGGGAAAGGCAGCAGGTTTTTAATGGAATCCACAAACTCCATTTTCATTCTTTGCCCAGTTGTGGGGTTTTTTTTGCCAATCCATGCACCCCATTGGTTTTTTTAAAAAACTATATCATAATTGGCTCCATAAATTTGTATACTATTTTGTGTTGGCCTAATAAACGTATTGCCATAATATGGATTTTGGAATTTTTTATAGGCTAACACAAGTTACCTTTTCCTTTTCTTTAGAAATTAATTTTTCATTAGAACATTAGATTTTCATATTAAAATGCAAATTGGGTTTTAGGTTCAAAGAAAATTTATTTTACTATCTATGTGGGAATAATGTCAACATTCACTTCAGGAAAACCACATGGTTAGAAAGCCATTGATCTCACCCAGGTATGTTTTTTCTGTTCTGTTACATTATGAGAAATTATTGAGGTTAGGTGCAGTGTAGAGGTTGGGGGGTTTGGAACAGTCTTTCAGGTGTGCTTGCTTTAACAGGCCTTCTCTTTCATCTTCTAGATATAACTTGAGGGCTCCCAGCAGGTCAGATAGTTTCTTTCTGACTTGAATATGAGGACGACTATAGCCTTTTACAAAAACTAAAAAAACCCCCGATTAAAATCTATACAATTTCCTTTTAGGACTTTTCCTTTTCTTTTCACAATGAAGTTCTTACTTAAAAAAATGCTGCTGGATACACTACCAGGATGCAACACAGCTGCTTGCTTTTTTAAAGATTAAAAAAGAAAAATTATTTCCTAGACACAGTACAATAACAAACAACATTACACAAAGTTTGACTTCTTTCCTATTTCAGTTAAGAAGGAGAGTGCAGCTATGTATTGAAGTGCTGTATACTGAAGCGGCCTGTGCTTAATATTTTGGGGAACTGTTTTGGGGTTACATCACAGAGCCTAGGAATAAAAACTCCCTAAAATCAGCACCCTCTGTTGTGCGACAAGCCTGTGACTTGTTGTGATAGTGTAGCTGGCCACAGTGGAGCAATTAGGCAGCTGCAGCCTCTTTCTCCTGGCGATAGTAGTCCTTAGTTGGTATTCTTGAACATGTCCCAATGGAGCCCAGGTAGCCTGCTCCTAATCTGAGACAGCAGGCACAAACACAAAATAAATTATCCAAAATGAACCCAAACAAATTATATAATGTACTATTGAAAACATTATTTGCACAAGCACATCATTCCCTTTATTTCCAGTGTTCAGGCTGGGAGTGACATTATTTATGTAGCCAAAATGGTACTGGTCGTGTACAAGGCGAAGGTGTCAGCAGGTTTGGAGAAGCTCCAAGATTTGCAAAAGTAGAACAGAATGTAAGGAAAAATAGTAAACAGGGAAAAGGGAATCCTCAAACAGCCAGAGCCATAAAAACTCAGAGCTTCATAGCTTTGCAAGGCAAGGGAATGTCAGTGGAAGTGCAAATGGAATGGAAGGTCCTGCAATCCACCACCACCCCACACCTTTTAAAGTTTAAAAGTCTGATTCACCACAGTAATCCTGCTGCTTATCCATGCACAACAGCACACAACCAACCTGTAACTGTGACTATCTTGTCACATCAGCAAACATTCCACATTTGCAGTTGTTGAATACAGATGAGTATGTGTGTGTTTGCATATATGCTTCGCATTGGCTACAAACTAATTGCATCAACTCAAATAAATGATATTCCAAAGTATCTGAAAACCTGCACCCAGAGAATTGTAGCATGAGTCCAAATCAATATGTGAAATTGCCTCAGATTATCCCCCCCCCCCACGAAGCTATCTCCTTTCTTCAGGCTGCCCTTTCTTAGCCCATTGCCTACTTTGTTCCTCTCCTTCAATTACCTTGACTCGGGGCACCCCAAATCTTTCCTACCTTGTGGGTTCTCTTTCCAGCCCTCAATCTGTTTCTCCGAAGCTATTCCCATCCCTGGACCCTATATGTATAAAAGGTTTTCCATTAGAAAAGCTGGCCTGCAAATATCTTGACAGAATGTTCATGAACGTTCATTGTCGCACACTGGCTCAGCGAATGGTTGTACACCGGTACAAGTGTAATACAGTACAGATTGTTACAGCACTGTGATTTCTTGT